CAACACCTTGGAACCAGTGTTTCCTCTAATTTTTTCCACACCTGTGCGGAATGAATTTTGTTATGTGCACCAATATGGACGTGATATGTGACACATCCCTTTCATATTGGTGTAAATAACAATATTCATGTGGTGGGGGTGGGGCCAAGAGGTTCAGAGTGTAGGAAGGGACTCAGGGTTGCGGCAGAGGGTTGAGGTGCAGGGGTATGAGGGCTCCAGCTGGGGGTGCGGGCTCCAGGATGGGGCTGGGGATGAGGGGGCTCAGGGCTGGGGTTCAGGGGGTTAGGGCTCCGGCTGGGGGTGCGGGAACGACGGGTTTGGGATGCAGGAGGGTGCTCCGGGACTACAGCAGGGAGAGAGGGCTCCCCCCAGCTCTCTCTGGTCAACTTAGCGTGCCCCTCATGAGGCTCATTGAGTATTCATGACATAAATCTGTTTTATATTTTACCTAAACCAGTGTACTTTGCTTGAAGTGCTGGGGAAATCTCTGCTTAGTGTACAAAAGCTGGTGCATGTCCTCTCCACACTGAGGGAGGGACGGACTGGGTAATAAACTTACACTGGTCAGGCTTCTGACCAGGGCTAGGTGGTACAGTTCTGGAGTCCTAGGCTGGGGAGCTGTGGGGAATTGGTTGGAGCCTCTCTGTTGTTGGTTCATGAGTAGCTGGGAGAAGCATTCATGTAACGTAACTGGGTGCACAGGTGCCCACTTTGTCATTTCCTGGGGGGTGCTTGACCCCCGCTCTCCCCCAGGCCATGCACCCACCCTGCCTCCTCCCTCAAGCGCACCCCACCCTTGCTCTGCCTCCTCCCTCCAGCGCCTCCTGCATGCTGCTGAACAGCTGACTGAGGCAGGCAGGAGGAACTAGGAGGGAGAGGGAGAAGCTGATCGGTGGGGCCACTGGTGGGTGCTGAGCACCCACTATTTTTTTCCCGTGGGTACTCCAGTCCCGGAGCACCCACAGAGTCGGAGCCTATGGCTGGGTGTGTCGCTGTCTATGGATGTTTGTGTAAATGCAGTACCTGGAGAGGTTTTCAGCTTGTCACATCATCACAGTGTGAGAGGGAGCCCAGGTTGGTAAGCCAGAGGGCTCAGTGGTACCCCAATTCCAGGTTGCACCCCAGGAAAACTCATCATAGTTGTCCTTTTGCCATGTACATTGGCCAAACCGGACAGTCTCTACGCAAAAGAATAAATGGACACAAATCAGACATCAAGAATTGTAACATTCAAAAACCAGTCAGAGAACACTTCAACCTCCCTGGTCACTCGATTACAGACCCCAAAGTCGCTATACTCCAACAAAAAAAACTTCAAAAACAGACTCCAATGAGAAACTGCAGAATTGGAATTAATTTGCAAACTGGACACCATTAAATTAGGCTTGAATAAAGACTGAGAGTGGATGGGTCATTACACAAAGTAAAACCTATTTCCTCATGCTAATTTTCCCCCTACTGTTACTCACACCTTCTTGTCAACTGTTGGAAATGGGCCATCCAGATTATCACTACAAATTTTTTTTTCTCCTGATGATAATAGCCCACCTTAACTGATTACTCTCGCTATAGTTAGTATGGCAACACACACTTTTTCATGTCCTCTGTGTATATATAGATCTTCCTACTGTACTTTCCACTGCATGCATCCGATGAAGTGGGTTTTAGCCCACAAAAGCTTATGCTCAAATAAATTTGTTAGTCTCTAAGGTGCCACAAGTACTCCTCGTTCTTTTTGCTTATATTTAATAGGGTTGAGCAGGAGGTAAAGAATTAAACACTATATTATAAATAAGTGACTAGTGTTGCTTGAAGAGAAAGTGTAACCTTTTGATACTAGTTCACCATTTTGATATTGTGTTTAGCATGAAAATACTGAGCGTGTAAGTTTTAAGGCTCTCAACTGAACTGTTAAAAAATTCTGTTGAACATTCTGAAAACAAGGATGCTTTTAAAAATGAATGTGGCATTTGGCAATTAATATATACTATATGTTTTTCAGGTCAAAGGTTTGAATGCAATGGCATAATTGGACCTAACTGGCTGGTTCACAGCAAATTGGTAGGAACAAAAGACTAATATGAGTATCTTTATCAATGTTACATCGGACTACATTACTTCAGGCAACTTTCCTCTTAACAGATGACTTCTGTATTTAAATTCTTCCCCACAATGCCTTGCAACATCTGAGAACCCTGGACAGAGCAAATTCAGTACAGCTGACATGAATCCATAGAATAGTGTAACAAATGACCAAAAGGTATAATTCCTATGTAATTGCATGTTGCACCACAAAAACATAATCTATGTTTTTAAACTATTAAATGTCTTTAAGGATGTTTCCTCACTGTGTAAATTAAATAAACCATGATTAAAATGATACAGATTGCAAAATTAGTTTATTTAGTTCACACAGTGAGGAAACATCCTTAAAGACAGTATTATCTGCCATTTATGGCACAACACAGAAATAACACAGGGGTTGCACATTTTGGTAATGGGGACGGGTGTGGTGGTGACCCACATCTATGATCTCCCCAAATTTAATGAATGCAGCTCCACATATATATCCATACACAGGTACATGCCCGTCCCCTCTCAGGGGCACCCTCCCTGACCATGCACACAGTGAACACATCTTCTTCTGTCCAATTACTGCCAGCTGCACCCTCTCTACCTTGCTACTGCTTCTCTATTGTCCTCCTAGGGCCCAGGGACTCCCAGCAGCTCCTGCTGCTCTGGGCCTCTTGCTCCTCTACCTTGCTCTTGTCCAAGGAGCAGAGAGAGACCTGTAAGAGAAACTGTGTAGGAGCCAACAAGAGATTTAAGGTAGGAATGGGTATGGAGTGGAACCATTTTTTCCACAAGGAGGTAAAGGTAAGCAGAAAGAGCCCAGCAAATCCAGCTCCACTCTCTCTTCCCCTTCCTGTTTTGGAACTAACATGTCAGCTCAGAACTTCCTCTCTTGCCTGCCTCCCCCACCCCAAAACTAAAAACAAAATAAATAAAACCCTTTCTGGTTCTCAGGCAGCTCCCCTCCTTTTGGCCCAGGCCTGTCTTTGCTCCTGAGAGAGGGGCTGAGGAGCAGGGTTCCAAAAGTGCAGGCAAACTCTGTTCTGTAGAAGACCAGTTGGGAATGCAGTGAGGCAGGGCAAAGAAGCTGAGCCAGCCCAACACAGGATGTACTTATTCAATGCAGTATTGTTGAGAGATCTGCCTAGAGAACGCTGTGGGGCTGGAATATAAGGAGATTTTCATCTCTTAAACACTACTGAGCCATGTGCTATTGGCCATTTTCAAACATTTATAACTGGCCAAATTTGGGTAGATTTTCACAGGGACAGTAAAAGAAATCTCCCTGAACCCAGGGCTCTCTCTTCACCCATTTCAAGTCCCTACTCCAAAACATGAAGGCACTAGAACTTTTTAAATATATGGCTGTAAGGGTTTTTTTGTTTTTCTTTTTAAACATTGTCAAAACAACCTCATCCTTGGAAATGGCTATACTGTTTTTGCTAAAACTCCCAACAAAATTCAGCCTGAGGCAGACATCTGGCATGGAAAATCTCAACCCAGATGGTTAAAGTGTGGCAAAGTTTAACCAACTGAAAACAGTGTTATAATGGGAAATATTATGCAGTCTTAAATTTAGGCATTGCTGCCAGCTCCACCTGTAAGGGGACATGTGAAGGAAACAAATAGGGTGGATAGGGCCAGATTAAGGCCATCCAGGGCCCTAGACACCATAACATGGTTCTCCCATACTGTGGTCCCACCTTCCACTTGGAGTTGTGGTGGCAGGGGTACTCTCTTCCCACTGAGGCAAAAGCAGTGAGACGAGGCCCCCTTCTGTAACCCCAAGAGTAGTAGCAGATTCCCCTCAAGAAAAGCAGGGGTTCCCTGTAAATCCAAAGGCCAGGAAGTATCTGCTTAGGTGGGTGCATAGAGTGGGCATTGAAGGAGACCCAGAATTCTGGACATTCTGGTACCTCCAGGAACACCCTGGGCCTGCCCCTGCCAGCGTGATGTGTATGCAAGCTCAAGCCTCACAGACTATGCCATTTTGAAGACTGCATCACTCTGCTCCCACCAGTACGATCTGAGATGCAGTGCATGCAAGGTCATATCGGTGGCACTAGCACATTCTTTAAAATGGTGCCCTCTGTGCATGCTACTAAGAAACCATGCTCAGTTTTGCCTCAGTACTGGACAGGGGACAAACCACCCCAAAAAAGGCCTCTCTGGCTTCAAACTAGCCCATGGGTGGCCTGGGGCCTGTTGCACGTGTCTCCTGCCACACAAAGCCCCCGGACAGGGTGTTTACAGGACCCCCTCTGCCCCCAGCAGTGGGGCATGGAGTCATCACACCATTCAGACGCACAGGGCTGGTCACCTCTCTCAGCTACCGCACCAGGCTCTCTGCAGACTCAGGCCTTGTTGCCAGCTATAACTGGGGACTGGGAAACGGCACCTCTGCCCTCACCAGGGGACTCCAGGAGCTGAGGACCGAGCCCTCAACGCCCTGGCGACGGGGTTTCAAAGGACACTGACGCCTCCCCTCAGCCTGAGAGCGCGAGGCGGCAGCCCCCGCCCGTGATACAGGGCGGGAGGACTCCCGCCTCGCGTGACGCACGTACCCCATTCTCAGGGGGAGGCGATGCGCTCTCCTGTGTCACGTGACAGAGCACCGCCCCTCACGCCCATTTCCCACTGGAGAACGCTCTCGCCTGTCACGTGACAGCGGAAGCCCCTCCTCGCGGAAACGGCGACAAGGCCACTTGGGCGCTACCCTCCGTCACGTGACGGAGGAGTGGGCGGCCCCCGGCGGGGGGAGGAGATTGGGGCTCTCTGGGCTCGCCTCGTTCGCCTCATCTTTTCACACGGGGCGCCTGGTGGTGCGGGAGAGGAAGGCCGGAGCTTGCGCCGTCGCGGCAGGGACACTGAAGCGCCCCCTCCCCCCCCGGGCTTCAGGGAGGGGCCCGGGCGGCGCTGGTGCGGCTGGCCATGTCCATGGAGGACCCCTTCTTTGTGGTGAAAGGGTGAGTGGGGGAGGGGCAGGGTAAATGGTGAGGTGGGGGCAGGGTTAATGAGGGGGTGAGGGTAACTGACAGGGGCAGAGTTAATGAGGGGGTGAGGGGAGGTGGGGCAGGGTTAATGGGGGTGAGGTGGGGTAATTAGCAGAGGTAGGGTTAATGAGGGAGGTGAGGGTAACTGACAGGGGCAGGGTTAATGAGGGGAGGTGGGGGCAGGGTTAATGGGGGTGAGGTGGGGTAACTGGCAGAGGTAGGGTTAATGAGGGGGGTGACTGGCAGGGGTGGTGTGGGGGTGCTAGTGGCAGGTTAGTAGAGAAGATGGGAGAGATCAGTGGAGGTGAATGGAAAGGGGTGGGGGTTATAGGTTTTATGACATGTGAGAATCTCTGGGGCAGAGGAATTCCCTCCCCCCCACTCCAATGGAATCCCCACTACTCAGTCTTTCTATCCAAAGAGAAACGAACTTCCTTGTAAGTGCTTCTGGCCCCACCTGCCTCATGCTCTGCTCCAAGGGTGTATGTGGGATGGGTGACCACATTTCCAGCACCTGATCTGCTCCCATTGAGGTACAATGGACTATGCCATAGTCCACTAGGGGTTGTATGTACTTGAATAAAATTGCCAATTAAAATGGGGATAGCTAATGTTTGTGAAAGCTAGTCTACGTTTCACAAATATTTTTTCCAGGAGACAAGTGTTTGTGATGTCTTTCAGTCTAGGCTGAGCAATAGAGTATACCAGAAATGTTTAACTTAGAGCAAATGTGTGGGGACTGTCCAGACTAGCCTTTATAAACCTGTTAACTCAAGATAGGTAATAGGCAATCAGTTAAACTCAGGGTAAAAAAAAAATCTCCTACATACACAAACAATAGTGGTTAGAGAATGGTATTGGGGGGGTGGGGGGTTGGAAGAGTGTTTCTTCATTGCAGAGTTAACTCAGGTGATCATTATTTGGGTGTGACCACTTGAGTTGGCCTAGCTCTAGTTAGAGCAGCAAAACTCTACAGTCCTGTGAACCTAGGCAGGCATTTTGAGGGGAAAACTTTACAAATTTTGGAACCCAGCCTATTGCTGAGAGAGAGGGGACTGGCTCATGAGTTGCCAGTTCATTGTAGGTATATAGTGTTCCCTCAAGTGTGGCATTGAAGGGTTTGCATGCATTTATGGTACGTATGGCTGGCCTTGCATAGAGAGAATATTTTACTTGAGATAAGTGGAGACAGATGCGCTGGGGGGGAAAAATCCTCTATCCCAGTGGTTCTCAACCAGGGGTATGCGTACCTCTGAGGGTACACAGAGGTCTTCCAGGGGTACATCAGTTCATTTAGATATTTGCCTAGTTTTACAACAGACTACATAAAGCATGAATAAAATCAGTACAAACTAAAATTTCATACGACTTGTTGATACTTCTGCATATACTATACACTGAAATGTAAGTACACCTCTACCCCGATATAATGTGACCCGATATAACATGAATTTGGATATAATGCAGTAAAGCAGCGCTCTTGGGGGGGGGGGGGCACTCTGGTGGATCAAAGCAAGTTCGATATAACACAGTTTCACCTATAAGGCAGTATGTTTGTTTGTTTTTTTACTCCCGAGGACAGCGTTATATTGGGGTAGAGGTATATATTTATATTCAAATTGATTTTTTTTTTATAATTATGATAATGAGAAAATAAGAATTTTTCAGTAGTAGTGTACTGTGACACTTGTATTTTTGTGTCTGATTTTTGTAAGGAAATAGTTTTCAAGTGAGGTGAAACCTGAGGTACACAAGACAAATCAGACTCCTGAAAGGATTACAGTAGTCTGGAAAGGTTGAGAGCCACTGTTCTATCCTAAGGAGACAAGTAGGCAGGTGGAAGGAACAGGCTCTGAGTTCAGGAGATGTTGGAGGGATATAATTAATATGATGCTAGTCTGGTGAGTCAGTGGCTCACTGGCTTCATGAATGCTGAGGGCCAAAGATCTCAAATTGGGGATAAGGTACAAAAAATTGGAACGAGGGAGATCAATATTTAGGGAGAGCTGCTGGCATAGGGCAATATTGTCTGAGAGCCATTGATGTGGCATGACTTGTATGTGGTTGCAAAGAGTTTGGGCTAGAAGGGGTTAAATAAACTGAAAACTTGCACTGGAAAAATTCTTAATTTCAAGTCCTGATGAAATCATGACAAGCTGAACAGAGTTCAGGGATTGTTGAGAGATACACAGGGAAACAAAAGAAGGAAAAAGCAGTTGTGAATATGGTAAGAGGTGGGTAAGAGTTCACCAATGTGGAGGGTGAAAGTGACACTTGCTTCAAGGATGAAATGGTGTTATGGGAGAGAAAACAAAATGCTCTGGGTTGGGAACTGGGCTATGTCCAGGCAAACTTTACAGAGCTTGTCTAGAGGTGTGAAGACTTGCTCATGCTGTGTGAAAGGAGGAGATGTAGCTTCTCTCATGCTGTCCCCTCAGATGACACTAATTCTGCTTTTGTCCTCTTCAAATTTAGCTCTGAGGATAGCCTTTTAGCTCATCTTATTTAAGTAGATTTTTCCTTTGTGTAACTTTTCTCATCTATGAATATCCAACCTTACTTGAAATTTCCACTTGTTGGTACTTTCCAAATATGTTTGGGTACAAAATAAAGAAACCCAAACTTCCATTAACAAAGTTTACTTGTGACTGAGGAAAGCAAATAAGTTGTACTGTATCCTTAGTCAAAGCTATTATGTTTAGTGCCCCAAAATATGCTAGGCCATTTGATAGGCGACAAATAAGGGGAGGAGGAGAAGGGATGTGCCTCTTACGGAAGGGTGGGCAAACTTTTTCGCCTGAGGGCCACATCTGGGTATGGAAATTGTATGGCGGGCCATGAATGCTCACGAAATTGGGGGTTGGGGTGCAGGAGGGGGTTGCAGGCTGGTGGTGGAGCAGAGGAGTTTGGAGTATGGGAGGGGGCTCCAGGCTGAGACAGGGGGTTGGGGCATGGGAGGAGGTCACGGGTGCAGGCGCCGGGTGGCGCTTATCTCAAGCAGTTCCCAGAAGCAGCGGCATGTCCCTCCTCCAGCGCCTACACGGAGGCGCGGCGCTGACAGCTCTGCGGTTCCCGGCCAATGGGAGCTGCAGAGCTGGCGTTTGGGGCTGGGGCAGTGTGTGGAGCCCCCTGGCTGCCCCTACGTGTAGGAGCCAGAGGGGGAACATGTTGCTGCTTCCAGGAACCACTCAGAGCCATGGCATGCGTGGAGGGGGGCAAGCCCCTGACCCCGCTCCCCAGCGGGCGCTTGAGGGATGGATTAAAAGGTCTGACGAGCAGGATGCGGGCCGTAGTTTGCCCGCCATAGTTTGCTCTTACGACTGGTCATGCTTGTCATGTCCTGACTTCCCGTTAATTTGAATGGATATTCCACAGGAATAAGGCTAGCAGTATTTGCTGGTAGATATTTGCTACTTGTTAAGTGATAGTCACAGTGCCATCAGCAAAGTGTGCATTTCCATGATATAAATTGAATGCACTTTTCCATGGAGCTTGCAGCAACAGCAAAGGCAGTTCAGTTTAGTAAACTACCGTATCTGAATGGTAATATTAAAATCACCAGGGCCACACTGAATACAATCCATGTAAAAACTCTAGGGGGACAATTGCTGCAATTCTTATTGCCTTTGTTGTGAGGTGAAACTATTGTTGTAGGGGAGAACATAATGTGCACTTGATACTACAGTGTTACCTCGGTTCTTCTCAGTCCTGAGATGAAAGATGCAATAGAAATGCAAAGTGTAGGCTGGTTCCTCTGTCCAGAGAAGAGTATTGAAATATAACTACTAGGGAAATGTGTGAAGATTCTGTTGTATGGCAGCAATTGGCTAAAGGCTTGGGTCCCTTCAATAATTGGGATTGCTGTGACAGAATTTCATAATGTGGTAATTTCTACCACACTATGGGAGGAGACAAGATGTTGACTGTTTCGCATCCATTGTATGTGAAGAATCTTTCATTTTCAAAAGAAAGGAGGGTTTGGAGGAAGAAGTTCTGGGGATTATTGATGCAGGCAGGTTTACAGTGAAAATTAGTGACAACAGTTCCCTGCTCAGGGTTTATCTACATAGAGAAAAGACTGGTATAACTAATAGATTAGTCAATTTCTCCATCTGGACAAGCCCTTAGTCTTGTCAATACAGAGAATACATGCTAATCATCCTTTACCTTCCCCTCTTTTCAATTGCAGGGAGGTACAAAAAGCAGTGAACACTGCGCAGGGGCTGTTCCAGAGATGGACAGAGCTCCTGCAAGATCCCTCCACAGCTACAAGAGAAGAAGTTGACTGGACCACCAATGAGCTCAGGAATAACCTGCGGAGCATTGAGTGGGACCTGGAAGACTTGGATGAAACTATTAATATCCTTTCTATAGGGCTGCTGCAGTCCGTTGGATAAATCATATATGGACCTACATAATAGCTAGCCAAGAGATCATTATGGCTCTTAAGGAGTAGTTTAGTCTCAAATATGCATCACACTCTATATAAATTTCTCATTGGAGTTACTGAGTGCATTAAATTGCACTATGTACAGTTTAGTTTAACAACGGTCAGTTATATCCTAAATTTCAAACAATAAAGTACTTTCAGGCAAAAGTGTTCCTTATGTTTTCCTCCCCAATAAGATGCAGTTTAAAATGAAATGTTCTGTTCACTTAAGCACCTTCTGTTGGATAAATTTATTTCATGCAATCAAGCTTATATTAGATGATTTTGGGAGGATGCTAGTCTCTCTCCTTTATTTTAAGTTCAAACTTCTGAAAGTGCTACACAGTACAGATCAGAGAACCCAAATATTTAAGTGGGAGAGGGAGACTCTGCATGCTGATACATGTCCTGTAGAATGCATTCCTTCCACACTTTTTTCTTTAAGTTGTTGTGATAGGAACATAATCTATCTAGTACTTTACTAACCAAAGTTTTGGAAAGGTACAATTACACTTATGAATTATAGGAGTTGGGGAGCCCTTTCCAGGCAGCCAGGATAGCTAGATCTTCATAAATGCTGAATACCAGTTAAATTATTTCCTTGACTTATTTACGCATTGTTGAAGCAAATCCTCGGAAATTCAACCTTGATGCAACAGAGCTGGGTGTAAGAAAAGCCTTCATCACAAGTACACGGCAGGTGGTCAGGGTAAGGAGCTTGGCTGCTTATTGTTTGTGGAGGGGATTTTCAGTGATAGTGTGTAAAAGCCCATGGCCACTTCAAAGTACTGGAAATTAGTTTCCAGTGTCATTCTAATATCAAACTGTTACCTGATTTCTCACCACCCTCATTTTCAGCATAATTCCTCTGATAAGGGTTCCCAAGCCGTGGTCAGTGAAGCACTTGCTTGTTGTCTGCAAAGAGCTGGTTGGCTTCTACTACTGGCTCTCCTCACTTCCAGCTGCTTCTACAAGTGTTCAGGTTCCTCTTTGCAATGAACAATCTGGACCTATAGAAGCAGCTGGAAATGAAGAATCAACATAACTGCCTCTACTACAGCAAGAGGCAGAGAGGAAATGAGTCTAGCTTTGAATGCTGTTTTAATTGTGCTGTGCATATTTGAAGTGCAAACTTTCAAAGATTCAAATCAAAATCAACTTCCACTGAACTGTTCAAAGGTATGTCATGCTATTTACATACCAGACATCAATTTCCTACCCTCAGCTGTTCTGGCATTATAGCTGTTAAAGGTTACTAGTGTTTAGTTTACTAAGGGAGAATTGGGGGTTTTTATTCACCAATGACTTAGTTCTTGCTTAGATTTTAAAAAGCTCACCTTTGGGCAGACACGCATCTGGAAAATTTTGACCTAAAAGATCACTTTCACAAAGCTTTAAATACAGTAACTCCTCGTTTAACGTTGTAGTTATGTTCCTGAAAAATGCTACTTCAAGCAAAACAATGTTAAGTGAATCCAGTTTCTGCATAATAATTAATGTAAATGGGGGGTGGGGGTTGGTTCCAGGGAAACTTTTTTCACCAGATACTCTTTAAAAAAAAAAAAAGTGTGTGTTTGTGTGTGCATATATATATACACACACACACAACTTAATACTGTACGCAGCAATGAAGATTGTTAAGCTTGGTTGAGGTGGTGAAGTCAGAGGGTGGGATATTTCCCAGGGAATGCCTTACTGCTAAATGATGAACTAGCACTCGGCTGAGCCCCTCAAGGGTTAACACGTTGTTAATGTAGCCTCACGTTCTACAAGGCAGCTCGAATGGAGAGAGGGGAGACAGCATGGCAGAGAGACTGTGTGTGTGTGTGTGTGTGTGTGTGTGAGACACATGCTGACCCCATTCTAAGTACACTGCCTTTTAAGTAGATCAGCAACTTGAGACAGCAGCTGCTGCCAGCAAGCTCCCTCCGTCCTGAGCCCTGTCATGTGTCCCTCCCGCTCTGTGGAGATGGGGTAAAGGAGTGGGGGGGAAGAGGAGGACTCCCTGACATTAGCACGCACCCCAACCCCCCTTGCACAGCAAGCAGGAGGCTCGCAGGAGCAGCACATTGCAATGAAGGGAGGAACAGCTCAACTGCCCAGCAATTGATAGCCTGCTGGGGGACTGCCGCACAGGGAACTTAGGGGAGCTGATGGGGGGCTGCCGGTCCACCCTGGTTCCAAGCCCCCACCAGCTAGCTCCAACCAGGCTGCTCTTTCTGCAAGCAGTGGACAAAGCAGGGGGCTGCCAAATATTATAAGGAAGCATTGCGCAACTTTAAACAAACATGTCCTCTAATTGATCAGCAATGAAACAATGTTAACCGGGACAACTTTAAGTGAGGAGTTACTGTAACTGAAAACAAAGTTAGAATGGAAATGCAGTTTAACTATAACGGGAGCAGCAGTTACTACTATAAGTATGGAGAAAAGGTCAGCTGGGTTTAGTTGGGCCTGAATGAGTAGGATAGATTCATATTTGGTTGGGAGGGATTTTAACAACCAGAAAGTAATTGAAGGAGAAGGGAAACTTTAGTGTTTGAGAGAGTGTTAACATCTGATAAGTAAATGCTAGTTAAGAAATTCTCTCCCAATTGGATTTAAGATTCCCCCCCCCCCCCCTTTTTTTAATTTTTAACACAAACCTTAATTTCTGCTGGTTCTGACAAGATTCTTAGTTGATATTCATAGCAAGCCACCAAATTGTGTTCTCACTGGGAACTGAGTTCTTACCCTATTTGCAGTATTGTTATCTAACTACAATTCTTCCTGAAGTAGAAGCCTGCTTTCTAGGGAACTAATCCTGAAACTGTCAGACAAAGGTAGTGGATCCATGCTTATGTGGCTGCCTTTATATAGTCTGGTTTTTTATCTTGAGTAAATCAGGTAAATTCACACTGTCCCCTCTTGTCCAGGCTGCAGTCTGACTAATGTGAAAATAACCCAGCTCAAGAACACCTCTAAACATAAATCACTAGCATGGTCTTATTTTTGAGCAATGCTTTTTATTTTTAATTCTTAGGCATTTTAATTTACATAGTTGACTCTACAGCTTTAGTTAGCATTTCTAACAGATTTACTAGAGTGCTCCCTTGTGAAAAGTAATTCTTTGGGGAGGTCCCAGTATATTTGGGATATCGTATGTGGCTTTTGGAGCAAGCCACATACGATATCCCAAGATATCTGGAGCAAGAATGCACCAGATATTCTGGTGATATCCGACATTTGTGCCAGCCTTGAGATTATCATCCACTTTAGTTATCATATTTGGCCACTACTTCACTTTTATATATCCATGGTGGCAGGGGGTCTCACTTTCAGTATAGACTGTTCTGAATGCAACTTCTAGACTTCAAAGTCATCTGCTATCATAGTGGCTTTCATCTAAGGAGCTCAAAGTGCTCATTGGTCAAAGAAGACTTCCATGCACTTGTATAGTGACTTAAGAAAGAATGATACCCATTTTATAGAGGAGAAATTCAAGCACAAAACGTGGCTTGTCCAAAGTGGCACTGGGGTGGGGAGGAAATGCAGGAGATCTAACTTCCAACAGCTAGAACACAGTCCTTCATACACACCACTTAAGAAAATATTTTTTCAATCAGCTACACAAATCAAGCATTGTTACAGCAGTGGAAAATGGGGAGGAGCAAAACCAGTAGTAAATCACTAACCTTTTCAAAATATTCTGCCACAAGGGTTTCTAGGCTTCATTAACATTTTCCTTAGCATTAGGGCAACTGTGAATTGTAATATTACTTTAGTCTTCCAGGATTTTTTAAAGCACATGCTTGTAAGTAAAGGGCTCTTTGGTCCTCCATAAAACTTGCTATGTATGTTTAATTAAGCCATTATTTTAGCAAATTGGCAATCATTTAAAATTTGATCATATACCTTTTTCTTTAATAAACAGGAAATGAAGGATCAGATGTCAAACTCATCTGTGCAGGCACTGTCTGAAAGAAAAAACAGGAAGGTGAGAACCAATAGCAGACTGCTGGCTAAAGTGGACACAAGAATCCTTCGAGATGGTTGATAACTCCTTATAGTTCAAGTATAGTAGCTGCTGACTTAAGCTACATGTTAGATGAAAGTACACTGACTTGGCTAAGGGGCTCATGTACCTTACGGTAGAGTACATTGGTATTAAACAAAATAAATGCCAGTTTAAACACCTGACTGCCAGCATGCATCTTGTTACCCTGTTTCCACCAGAAGCTTTGTTTACAAAAAAACAAATATCTATCTTAAACTGGAAAAGCATCCATTTTGCTGGCATGTGATCTTTTTGTGGCTAGTAATCAGTGAAAACACTTATTCTTGCGGGCACAGTTTGCTCTGGTTGCTTTCCAAACCTTTCACATGAGGTAATAAGTTACTATTCAGTAGTTTTTGCCTCAAACTGCTTATACACCATCCAGTCTTGCATTGCTCCTAGGAGGGAAAAAAATATCCCCATTTTTCAGAGGAGGAATCTGAAGCCGGAGAGGTTGTGAGTCTTTGATCTAGGACTGTAATTCTAGCATTCATGGCTTCTAATCCTATGTTTCGCAATATCTATTTGACTATGTAAACATAGCAAAGCCTCATTATAAGAGGAGTCAGGAAAGAGTTGGTGTAAAGGACATGGTCATCAACTTGTCTCTGCTTGTAATGTAAGTAGACGTGACTTACACTAGCACAGAGGTGGGCAAACTACGACCCGCAGGACACATCCGGACCGCAGGACCCTCCTGCCCGGCCCCTCCCCTGCTGTCCCCCTCCCCTGCAGCCTCAGCTCACTGCGCGGCTGGTGCAATGCTCTGGGTGGCAGGACTGCAAGCTCTTGCCGGGCAGCGCAGCTGCAGAGCCGCTGCCTAACCCAGTGCTCTGTGCTGTGCAGTGGCATGGCTGGCTCCAGCCGGGTGGCACAGCAGCTTGTTGCGCCGCCAGCCACTGGTGCTCCAGGCAGCGCAGTAAGGGGGCAGGGAGCAGGGGGGGGTTGGATAGAGGGCAGGGGAGTTCAGGGTGGTGTGGATAGGGGTTAGGGCGGTCAGAGGGGGAGAATGGAGGGGGGGTTGAATGGGGGCAGGGATACCAGGGGGGCAGTCAGAAAGGAGGGGGGGCTTGGATGGGGCAAGGGTCCCCAGGGGGCAGTCAGGGGTGGAAGGTCAGGGGACAGGGAGAGTTGGGTGGGGCAGGAGTCCTGGGAGGGCGCATCAGGGGGTGAGAAGCGGGGGGGTTGGATAGGGGGTGGGGGCTGGGCCATGCCTGGCTATTTGGGGAGGCACAGCCTTCCCTAACCGGCCCTCCATACAATTTTGGAAACCCGACATGGCCCTCAGGCCAAAAAGTTTGCCTGCCCCTCCACTAGCAGGAGAGAGTTACAAGTAATTGCAGAGTGACCTCCAGAGCAGCCTCTACTGAAGTGTCTGCATGCATAAATCACTTAATACAGAAGATACATTTCTGACTTTTCAGTAGATTCATCAGTGTCAAATTTCCAGACAGGCTGGTGAGGAGAAGGCAGGCCTGATCATTATATGGTTAATGCAACTTCTTGCTCAACATTTAAAGTATAGTCATGACTCACTTATGCCCGTCCTTAAAGCTTTATTTCCCTACTTTCCCAGTATCTGGATGTTGCCAGGAGTAAGAATGCAGCTGAGATAGAACAGTATGACCCAATCCTAGCATTGATAACACCTGAAGGAAGCTACTGGATTCTGCAGTTTATTTTTGGAGTTCCTTTCTTCCCCCAACCCCTTTTCAGTCTGAAGGAAGTTATGACAGCAGTGACCAGTAGCAAGTCACCACTGAGATATTAGCATCATGGTGTAAGTGAGTTCTCTTGAATGCTGCCTTATTAGAAAAAGTTCATTGACAATCTGGAATATAGGTATAAGGTTGCAAGTTCACTTAACTCTCATACCAGGTTAAATAACACTAGGATTGCCACCCCTGAACCAGGAAGTCTTAGCCAGAACTAATTTCTTAGTCACTGGAGAGAACCAGCAATGTACTCAATCTTTTTGGGGACAGTGTTTATTTTCTGTTGGCTTACTGCTTGTCTTCTGTTTTTCCCCTTCCCTGACCTTCTGTTCCATGCTCACACTTTATCTGGCACCTGTTAACCTTCTTTCAGTGCCTGGTCCTCTTCTCTCTCCTCACCAAGTGGGTCTAGCTGCTCTCAGTGCACTTTTCTTCATATTTGTTCCTTCTCTCCAGCTGCCCAACTGCAGCAGTCACAGAACCGTGTGACCCCCAACATTCCATCCATTCTCCTGTTTAAGGGCCAGCAACTACAGCAATCTGCTGCTGGAATAGGAATAGAGATGGAACAAAAGTGACTTCTTGTATATAATGAGTTGGGTAACATGGGGTACTACTTAATCCTCTTTCCTGCTTCCACTTGGAACTTGGTTTTAGGTGAGGTGACATGACCATATATTGGAGTGTCTTACTGATTAAATTTTCCTGTGTGTATGTATACAGGCACTGCTGGGAGAAAGTGGAGGTCAGAGTTGGAGCTCTGGATCAGATAAATATGGCGGTTTGGATCGAGAACTACAGTTAGCCAATTCACACTTCATTGAGGAGCAACAGGCTCAGCAGCAGGTATAGTATTTCCTGCATGATAGTGCACAGGGATCCCTTGCTAATGGCCGTGTAAGGAGATGGTGGTACTGGCACTAATAGCCAAAAGTCTTCAAACATCCAGCCATGAGCCATCTTCTGTGCTCAATACAATGAGCCCATTTGTTTTCAATGTTGGTTGCCTGCATACCTGTTGTAGGCACCTAAATATTGACTGTTGTGCTTAAGGTGGTTTTGGTGTGTACGTTTTGGCACACAAACTTAAAGTTTAGGGCTTGGATGTATAGGTCTGTGTGGAAGGCAACTAAAAGATATAACCCATCTGGAAGGTGCCACATGCTGATGAAATCCTTTGTGAAGCATAGAAACGTAAGGGGGTGGGGAGAATACCTGATTCTGCCAGATTCCTCCATTCCAGTTCAAAAAATGACTCTGCTTTTACATGTATCTTGAATAAAGGTTCATTTAGGGCTGACGCATTAAATACCCCTTGATATTGCTGCATTGACTTTTCTTCATCTCTCAAAGAAAAAACGGGTGCATTTATTCCACCCCTAAGAGGACCCTTCACTGTAAAATTTGTGTGCCAAATTATAATGCTGAGTTGTATTAAATTGATCTGTAATGAACCCCAATCTTAGCCTCTCTTGTCCTTTGATGTATGCTTTTAGCTTCTAGTGCACTAGGACTTTATTATTTTATTTTTGGGGGGTGGGGGAGGAGGAGATGGATTTTCCCCTAAAGTCAGCTTGGCTTAGGTTCATTCTGATCACCTGTAGTAAGAAGACTTAATGTCAGAGACCCTCCACTGAGACTGGCTATAGATGCTGAGAATTCACACATGGGCATGGACAATTTCAGCTTCTCCCCTGAGAGCAGGTGCCACTGAACTGAAATGTTCTTTGCATTAGTGAGGCCCCACTCCCTTAAGTATTTGTACTATGTTCATCACCTTATCTGAGCACTCTGATTTAGTGCATTAAAGATTAGGACCAGAACCTTGAATTAGCTGAGGAGCCAGTGTGGGATACAAACCACTAGTATTATGGGCTCTGCCTGCTTAAGATAGGCTAATCAAGATGGATGTAACAACATACATGTCTAAGGTGATGTAATAGTTACAGCTAAGTAAAATAAAATGATAAGCTAGCTCTATACAGTAATGTCTACTTCTTTGTGCTTTTGACAATACATTTATGATTTAATAGAAAATCAATCATTAGCAGTGCTAGGAACCATTGTAGGGTAGCTTACTTTGACTGCTGCAAGCTCATTTGAAGAATTGTCTGGACAGTGCCCAAGTTTATATGTAGCTGTCCACCTAAGCATAGGTTCTTGGAAGAAATGAAGTGAGGTATTGGTAACATTCTCCACAAAGTATTTCCAAACAAACTTTTCAGCTCTTTAAGTGATTGAATAATCCCAAGTACGTACTGACCTTGTAAAGGGCAGCTGATAGATCTTTAAAATGTGTTTGTGCACCAAAGTCAAATGGTATAGTCTTACCTAACAACTGTTTCTTTAGTGTATTCAGAGCAGAGTTGGCAATTCCCTAGGAGAAATTTGTTTAGGACAGGGTCCAGAAAGTTCAGCAACCATAGAGCAAATCTTTTCAAACTGAGGATACATCCATTCAAAACAGAAATATCCACAACATCAAAGTTGGTCTGCTGCTACAGAATGCTGCATGACTTAATGGACCTGGACTGGCAGTCTGCAGCTCTATCACTTCTGATTGCTCAGTGCTTCAAGCCTGCCACTCTGCATTCTTGTCATTTTCATATCATTGAATGTTTTCAACATGTCATTTCAGTTTTCAATATTACATAGCTTCCTTGAGAAAATAGCAAATCAAAATGTATAGACATTCCAGTGTTCAGTAGCATAATTACATTAATCACAGCAATTTTATTTATTTAAGCCCTAAATCTGCCTTAAGTAACCACAACTTAAATATGTAACTAAAATGAAGTGTAACATGTGCCTTAATGAAAATTTTTTAAATAGAAAATGCTTTAAACTGGGACTAACTAATGTTGCCCAGTACAGTAAAACACACTTTTGGTAAATACCTTGCCATCCCTGATTCAGTCATATCCGATCATTTTAGTGACTAGTTTTGTACTTATGTTAACTCTTAGCTATGCTGACTCTGCAATGCGATCTGGATTCTGTTCCATCATATGCATCATCAGAATTGCTACTAAGTTCCAGTCTCTTCCACCCATTAAAGGTAATGGGATTGCACAAATATGAGATCAGGCTTGCAGTAGCCTACAGAACTGTTCTACTGGTGATATGCAAGATGGCAAGAACCCATCTTGATTCTAAGCCCGCATTGAATTTGGAAGGCTGATAGGGAACAATTCCATTTTACTTGTCAAGTGAACACTTGATAAGGAGTTACTGGGACAAATGTGGAACCCAGTCATGCTGCTTTGACAGCCATTCTTCAGGATTGACCAACACTAAGTATTCCTCTGAATTACAGGACTAGTCACTAGAAGTTCAAGCCTATTTCTAAACTCTGCTTGCTGGCTTGCCAGTTTGGACAGGCATGTGGCAGAGCATTGGGCTCTGAACCAGTTGCAACTGTATGTTGGATTTTAATTGTTTGTTTCCCTTCTCTCTGGCACCAGTTGATTGTGGAGCAGCAGGATGAGCAATTGGAACTGGTCTCTGGCAGCATTGGGGTGCTGAAGAACATGTCCCAGCGCATTGGTGGGGAGCTGGAGGAACAAGCAGTGTGAGTGCTGAGAAACAAACCCCAGGCTGTAGGAGTTCTCAGGAATAAGACATGGGGAAGGGCTGGTGATATTACTAAAATGTAACTATTGGTGCTCCTGTGCCCAGAAAGGACAAGAGCTGTATATCATTGGCTGACGGTGGCTTTGGAATAATATTGTCAGCCTGGTTAGTGACACACAGGAGATCCCAAATACTATTCAATCATAGCTAAAAAATTCTGCCCACACAAAGGATTAAAGGGTAGCTCACAGCAGCATCCATACATTTATATATAAATTAGATGTCTTCTTTCCAAGTATGTATTCTGTAATCAAATAGTATATCTGGAGTTTCCAGTGACACCGGATAGCAGTTTCACTTTCAATAAGACTAGTGGTTCATACCTATGTTTAACTGTTTCTGAGAAACTTTAAACACATCTTTTGTGTAACTCTGCAGTGTCCTTCTGTGCTACCAAGGCAGCTCCCAGAGCACAAATTAACACAGTGGTTCAAGAACTATAGTGATAACATCATAGGTAACTACATACTAGTAAACAAGGCAAAGCAATAAGAACATAAGAGTGGCCATACTGGGTCAGACCAAAGGTCCATCTAGCCCAATATCCTATTTTCCGACAGTGGCCAATGCCAGGTGCCCTAGAGAGAATGAACAGAACAGGCAATCATTGAGTGATCCATCCCCTGTTGGCTTGTGTTCTCTTAAAAAGGGTGGGGGGGAGGGGGGAGAGGCAAAGAACAGAACAAATGGAATGGGAAGAGACAACAAACAATGGAAAACGGTGGGAGACAGGGAGAGAAGAAACTTAATCCTTTTAAAAGCAAAGCAACTGGTCAAGGAAGCTTTAAAATCTTACCTGTTCAAGAATAAGTGATAAGTTTATCCTGGATGTACTTCTCTCTCAAAATGGATTCTTGACAGTGATCAAACAGCTCCGGACAGGTTTTAGTAACTTTCCTACAGCATTTAAAACCAGAATGGTAGGATACTTAACAGCAATTCTAAATCACATTCCCTTATGATACATAATTAAACGCTCCGCATAAGCGACAAAGCTTTTAACAATGTGACATTTTGGACCTTAAATGGTTAAGCCTAAACATGTTTCGCTAATTTTGGATCAAATGTTTATCATCTACTGCTCGCCTTGCAGAGATCACCAGAGCCAGCTTATGTACTGACTTCACACATCAGGGAAAGCACTTAGAAAATTAGTCCAAATGAGTTCTCATTTACCACCAGAGTAAAACTGCTGGTTGAGCAAATTTTTGTTTTGACACTATCAAATAAGACCCTAAAATGTGTTTTTGTACTTTGCCTGGGGATTGGGTTATTTTTTGTAGGTGTGTGACAGTCTTGTGCGTGTAGTGAAGTCCTTGAGATACATCGCTAACTAATCAGTACAAGTTGCTTAGGTTGTTTACCTGACACAGCTCCCCTCTTCTTTGTCCCCAGGATGTTGGATGACTTCTCTCATGAGTTAGACAACACTCAGTCACGTCTTGATAATGTTATGAAGAAGCTTGCAAAAGTGTCCCACATGACCAGTGGTAGGTGGCGGAAAATGGGTTCTGACTTCTAAACCAGGGAATGAAAGCTACATTAGTCTGAGGTCTGGAATGTGCTGTGTTGTCTCCTGGATCTGGGACTAGTGTCTAGTAGTTTCTCTTAAATAGTATGTTTTTTGAGAGCATGGCAAGACAGGAAGCAGTTCAGTGTATAAATAGCCAGGGAAAGATAATCTTATGCTACTTGAGTGTAGAGCCTGGCAATTTATAGTTCATGCTGGGACTGTCCTTTTTTTTAGCCTGTTCCTCAGCCTTTTTTCACCTGCAGATTTTTTTTTCTATCATTTATGCAACCTACATGGTGAGAGAATGTACCTTGGGACTACAATTGTAATAGCTTTTGCATCATTCCACTTTCAAGTTTTACTGTAGGTTCCTACAAGCTTGGAGGATGCTTAAGCATGAAGCAAGCTAGAGAACTTTAGTTAAACCCCATGTGAGCAGGTGGCTTTTCCTTGCTGTAAAGTCAAGCAGTAGCTGCCCACAGTGTACTCCTGGCATGGAGTTTGGCTTTATGGAGTTCTTTTTGTGAATGAAACAAAACCCAGCCTGAATCTTCACTCCAGGCGAGGAAACTACACCCAGCCACAGGAATGCTAGCATCTGCCACCGTCCAAAGGCTGTGGATAGTAAATCTCAAAGGTGCCAAAGCAAATAGCTTAATTCTAGAGCGTGTGAGAGGAGGGAGAGATTATTGAAGGCTTCTAGTATCTTATTGGATTGGTTGCCAAAAAAAACACCTCAAATCTAGCAATGCCTCCTCAGCACTCATCTGTGTCTTGAAGCCTGAAGCCAATGGTGAGCTCATGCATCCAGCTGGTGAGATTCTCACCTGAGAACTGAAAGACATCAGGTTAGTTTTTCTAAAATGCAACAGGAAATGAATGAGAAATGCTCTAAATTAATCATGTTGTGCAATTCATGCTCCAGGTCTTCCCCTGTGCCTCAGTGTTCAGAATAAAGACTCCAAGAACAAGCTTAGTTTAAGGCCTGGTCTACACTAACCCCCCAATTCGAACTAAGGTACGCAACTTCAGCTACGTGAATAACGTAGCTGAAGTCGACGTACCTTAGGTCGAACTTACCGCGGTCCAGACGCGGCAGGCAGGCTCCCCCGTCGACTCCGCGTACTCCTCGCGCCGAGCAGGATTACCGGAGTCGACGGCGAGCACTTCTGGGTTCGATGTATCGCGTCCAGACAAGACGCGATAAATCAAACCCAGAAGTTCGATTGCCTGCCGCCGAACCAGCGCGGTAAGTATAGACAAGCCCTAAGTCTTAGCTTTACACTGGAACAGTGTCAGATGAAAAGCTCCTTGCCCTCAGTAGGAGGAAAGATGGTGTTGGGGCAGGCGTAGCCTCCAAGAGAGAAAAAAAAAAAAAAAAAGGCACTACTTGAACCCTGAAAGGGGGTCCCAGAGCTGACAGGATGCCAAGGGTAATAAAAACAGGAAGTATGATTGATTGTGTAGGCTGACTTCCAGGAAGTGTCACTCCCCAGAGTTGTTTTCATTTATAAACAGTGTGTGTGTGCTTTGTAATAGTCTACCTAGATGTATTATCTTCTCTTTCATGGTTGTTTCATGTATCTCTGGAAGCAGTGGGTATATTACAGGAGTCAGATAATATAATATACTATCAGCCTGTCAGTGTCAGTTGCCCAGTTATCTGACTGCTGCTTTGGGGATCCATTAAAAATCACCACCTGGTACCCTTTCAGAACTGATGTTCTGTGGGTCACTGTCCACAGGCAGTAAGCATCACAGAATCACATGGTGAGAAGTGCTTTCTGCCATATACAAACTGCATCTGAAATCAAACCGTTGGATTAATGCAGCATTTGGGTCAGTCCTGCTGGTGAACATTCAGTTGAAGTGACATGTCACTTAGCACTACAGACAGCTGGCAAACAACTCACTTTGGTGTTTTCTCCCCCAGACACAGGTTTAATGATCAGAAAATAAACTTCAATTTCCTTCAATTGTTGTGAAAGACTGACGTTTTTAGAAAAGATGGCTTGTGGTTTCTATTAGTACCTGCATCCTAAACTAAGGATTCAGCACTAGAAAAGTTGAGACCTGTGGGTCTCCATTAGTGCAGTTTTGCTAACTGTAGCAATAATGGAAGTTATGGTGTGAGCATGGTTAGATGAGTGATACAAACAGCTCTGTCTACAGCTTCCACCATTGCCACCACTTGTGGAACTGCGCTAGTGGTGAAGTATGAGCCTAGCTTTGCCAATGCAGATATAGCCTGTGGGGAGTACCAGCAGGGAGATGACTGTCTTTCCTTAATCCTTTAAAAGTGCATTGCATAACACAGACTTTTTCCAGGACCTGGTCTGATGATGGCTAGAGAACCTCCAAACTTCTTTCCAGGGCTTTGACAAATTCTGCTTCTAAAACTCCACCTTTCTCCCTCCATTAAGCTGCAGCTCTAGTGTCGAACTGTGTGGTCACCATCCAGATCCCCTCAGGATCTTGCTGTAGCCCCCAACAAAGAAAGAAGTTAAGACCAGATGTTTTTAAGGCCAGGGGTAGGTGAAAATAGAAGAGGAAATCAAGGTAGTCTTGACACCTTTTAAAGGAGGTTTAACTAATTCTTTGCTATGGAGTGTTACTTTAAAGGTTAGTCTCACCTTCCTACTGGTGGCCGTTCTCTTGCTGAAATTTCCAGCGTCCCAAAAGCCCTTAGGTGGAGGTGAGGAGAGCTCTTGTGCAAAATCTTCAAGAAGCAATATAAGGCATAACGTGTGTGTATGTATGTATATAAAAAATATGGTGCAAAGTTCTCAAAGGGTGGGAGCTGTGCTGAGTTACATACAGCTGATGCACCTTCGCTTCCAGTCATAGTAATACTGCTGAGGCAAAATCTGGCTCCTGGGATTCTCCTAAGGAGAGTCTGGCTGAAGTGTTCCTTATGTAGCTCTAGTTTAAAAGGCTTCCATCAGACTTTCCTTTCTTTCTGGCTTAAATCAGGTCCTTCGTAGCGCAATGGAGGAAGCTTTCTTCCTCTTCCCCTCCCCATGGAAGTAGAAAACTGATGTTTCCTTTTTCTTCCAGATCGACGGCAGTGGTGTGCAATCATCATTCTCTTTGTTATCTTACTGGTGGTGCTTATCCTGTTTTTTGTGCTGTGATGGACTAACCTCCCTTGGACTTGTGCCCCCGCCTCAAAAAAAAAAATGGGGAAATGAAACTTAGTTATCGTTTCCCTCCACTCTGAGATTCCTGTCATGAAAACTTACATCTGGACCTTACTGTTCTCTTTTGTGGACTAACACCTATGGCATGACTCTTGCAACTTCTTCATCTGATTCTAAGCCTCATCAACTTGCCTGAGGGGAAAATGAAGGACGGATGTGATCCCAAATTCTTCTGTACCTGGGACATACTGCTGTGTGGACAACAGGCCCTCTTCTCTCTCACCGTCGTATGTGGAGTGGCCTAGATTTAGACCTAGAATGGAAAAGGCAATTCAGAAGGAGTTTACCACTGTTAATATTTTCATCCATTACAGGTGTGAACCATATGAAGCCTGGAAACATCCTAAGCTGCCACACATTCCCCTTTCCCTTGTCAAATGCCACTCTTGTCAGATTTAGACATAAAATAATGGTTCCTTGGGACAGTATTTCATTGACTACTGGAAGCTGATCACCAGCCAACAGTGCAGCACTTCCAAGCTAATAAAAGTTGCTCACTAGGAAGGAAAGAAGGCACTGGAGGAGTAGCGTTGATGTCAGTAAATGCATTAATTTATACTCTGGCTATCTTCACTCCAGTGCAAAGCTATAAAAGACATGTGCGGAGATAGATTGCTTTTAAGGGTGCATACACATTCTGCTTTTGAAAATACTAAGTGTTAGGAGCAGCAAGGTCTTGGACCCTATGGGATTAATAAAAGGGGAGATATGGCTCATAACTGCTGACATGAAATCTAATGTGAACTTGAGTCTGTATCTAACAGGCTACTGGCACTGTGCTAGACTGGTCTCATAACAGCAGTATTGATTTGACCTTACACATTTAAGTAGGTAGCTTGGACATGTTAGAAAGAATCATGAGCAAAACAAACTTGCAGGACATCTCAGCAGAATCTTACATACTGTGTATTTGTGAACTACAAAAAGACTGTGCTGCCCTGCCTGAGGCAGCTGCAGTTAACTGCAGCGCTTTAACTTGTTTTACTGCACTGTAAGCCAAAAGTTGATAAACTCTAGGCTGAGGGTAAACGTTTTCTAAAACTCTTTAAATCTTGATTATACAAGCCTCAAGCCCACTGAGTGTGCTTTTTGCTGTTGTGTAACAGAATGACTGCCTCTGTTTAACTGCTGTTACCGTTTGGCAAGTGATTTGTCAAGTTTTAAAATAACATACAATATTTTGATAAATAAACTTCAAAGGTATTTAATATTAATGATATGGGCCATATTCTCTCCTTGGATATGTCACATCCATTGACTAATTTATACATGCACAGAGTAGAATATGGCCCAGAGCTTGTACCCTAAATGTATACTAACACACACAAAAATAGGATGTCTTAATTTTTCCTGACCCAGTATTTTTTAGAAATCTTAAGCACTGTTGTGACAAACAAAAAGCCAGAAAATGCAAAGTTAAGGGAGAGACTCCAGTTCATCATTATTTCCCCAATCCTTACATTACCTTTGAATTGCCTGGCACTTCAGGTTTGTTTCACAACATTGTTATTTGAGTCTAGTTTTGTCACAGTGAAGTGGAAATTAGACTTAATGAGTCACTGTTTTATTTAAGTGTTGCTAAAAGCTGTCCGTACCAAAACTTGGTCTAGAAGGGCTCGACCTGGCAGCATAGGTGTGGGGACAAATAAATCCAAATAGCTGTTTTATACTGCAAAACTGATTTAACCCCCCCCCCCCCTTTTTTTTTTTCTTTAAATTGCTGCTCCTGGCCTTCTGACTCAGATTAATTTAGAAAAGTTTAAGGCAACCAGGCTTTTCTTTTAAAAAAGAATTGCCCTTTCCAGGCCAAAAATTGGGAGTTAGTTAGTGCCCATACATAGCAAATCTTGATAGCTAAAACTGCATGCTGCTCAAATATAAGCCCTTCCTCAGGATACCCTTGAAAGTGAAATTTCAGCTTTAATGAGATATTTCTTTGTTAAACACTGAAATAGACTTTAATCCTAACTAAACTTGCTTCTGCATGGCAATATTGTGGCTCTCAGACTAAATTATAACCACCTACCTATGTAAAGAAAATTGAATTTGTACACAGAACACTTACGTTGTAACATGGAAAGTAAGCGTGTACTATATGCCTTCTAGCTCCTGCAGGATTAGGGATAACTGCCCCTAACTTTTGGATGACAGTCTTTCACCCTTAAATGGGACATTTGTTTGTTTAATGTGCCCTTATCTCTATTTTGGGTAGCATTTGCCATACAGGCCTTCTATATTAAAAAAATAAATAAATTTGCAGATCACCTTTAGCTGAGGGTTTGTCTATACTAGAAAGTTAATACAGATTAAGGTAGATTGCAAATTTAAAGCACAGTAGCTGTTTCTGAATAACTCTGTGGGTCAACCCTTATTCTGGAACAAGAATGCCTTGTTGCTGTTTAGCTTAACCCACTTGGAAACTGTAGACAAGCCCTGAAATATTCCTTGATTTAGTTTGTCAGAAATAAGTTAAATTTATCATTGGTGTGTTAAATACATGCTTTGCTTCCTCTAGGAGCTGTTAGCTTCCAATATGCACAGCAAGAGTATAAGTAGACTTGGTCCATTATAATCACACTTGCATTTAATATCTCTTCAAGAGTAACTTTTCAGTTGGAGATCCAGGAAGCTAACTATGTAACTCCCATTAGGTTTAATAGGAATCTGTGTGGACCTGACACTGTACCTTTCAATGCTTGGCACTTCAGTGTTGCTGTTACAAAGGGGATTTGGGTAAGTGCACCTACTGCTGCTGTGTCTTGTCACTGGAGAATATACTAACCTGTTTGTTTTATATTTGGAACAGCATCCTGTGAAATGACTAACTTTAGACACGTCAGAAAACTTGAGCCTAGATATAAAAACCAGAGGAGCCATTTTCAGTAGAGGAAGGAAGATTTCCCACTTCTAATTCTATTTAACTTCCTGATACTGTAATTTCAGTGTAGGGCTCAGTGCTAGTTGTTCATTGTAGAATGTGGGAATAGACATTTTTCACTGGTAGTTGCACACGCAGTTCCCCACTTACATTACAATATGCTGTGTTGTGTTCTCTCCAAGAATTCTTAATTAAATGAGTTGTACAGAACTGCTCCTACACTTAAGGAAATTTTAGACTATAACATGTTACCAGAAGCCTATTAAACTGCTGTGCTTAAGTATGTCTGTCTAGATGGTGCTGCTAGCTAGCAAATTCAGTGTCTTTAGTCCTATTCTCCTTGTAAATCTGCTTGCTCCTGTTGCCTTTTCATTTAATTATGTCATAAATAATGGACTGTGGCATCACCAAATGAATTCAGCTACTGGAAATAGTTAAATAGTGGGTTTTTTGATAATCCTTTGTTAGAAGTGTAAATATATATATAGAGAGAGTCTGGTACAATATTATATTTGAAAGTTCAGACTGTCTCTAAAGCTTGGAGAAGCTAGAGACTGCTTCTGTAAACATATTCCAGACTGGTACACAGCGTTAATCAAAATGTAGCACTTTTTGAACTCTGAGAAAGATCCCTGTACAGAATCTGGATCAAATTAACAATGTGATATTTTCATCTTGGTGTGGCAAGCCTGGGCAGTTGGAACATTTATACGGTCCACACTAAGCTGTAATGAAGAGGTTGCAGATAGCTGTCTGTAGAGTTTGACGTCTTAATGCTGTAGTGGAGCTAGGTGGCCTCTGAGGAAGCTTTTTTGACCATCCCTTATGGTTGAGCACTGTGAAAGATCTGTTATACGTGATCACTGCGGAATCTAAAATGGCTAGCTGTGGCTTATTTTCATACTGTAAAAGTTGCTGTTCTTCCTCCATTCAGAAGAGCTGTTAAAACTGCTGGTTGTGTTGTAATTGAACTTTCCTCAAAGAGGAACTAGACTGTATCTCCAATTTTATATTTGTTTTAACTTTGGGACAGTGACATTTCATTATGTTGTGCTCCACATTGTAATAGAGAGGTGGGTACTGTGCTCCGAGTCCATCTGCTATTTTCCTTTCTTCAGGTTAGTGGCAGGCTGCCAAAAATTGCATTTTAGTAATGCTGTTTATAGGGGGAGCCACTTACTGCATTCTCTTATGGGCAGGGGAGGATAGATTGTACTTCCCATGACCTTACTGTTCCTCCCTCCATACAGGTTTTTAAAGGAACTACTCGATCATCTGAGACCTAGTAGTCCATGAGTGCAATGAGTTAAATGCAGATTTGTACTCTGCTATATGCATCCCACACTAAGTGGGCTTGGGAGGAGTATAGCACAGTACTTGCAATGTACACATGTGAATTGTCTAGAAGCCCAGTGAGTGGTGTTGCAGGTGGTTGGTAAGGAGATGGTGGATGAGTCTCCCTTTCCCTATTTTTTTCCCCTCCATGACCATACTTCAGTTCCATGTAATCTTGTTCCATGGTGGCTTCTGCCCTGTCATTCATTATTGAGAGAGCAATCTCACAAGTACCAAGAGAACCACAGTCCATTGACTGTCCAGCAGTATTAGATATTTATGCTATTATCTAAACTTTACTTCAGGATTAGCAGATCTTCCCTGTTTACTATAGAAAGATCTTTGTACAAAGCTGAAACTTTAGCTGCACCCTTCAGGTTAAAAAAAGGGGTGGTGAGAGGTCTTAAACAGTCTCTCACTACAGTTCAGGGTTCAAGCATGTCTCACTAACAGTTTCCAGCAAAAAGAGGGAAGGCAAGCCTTGATTTTTCTGATGTAAAAGCAAAAAATGGTTTGGGGAAGGTGGCACTTTGTAGCTGTCTTTCTGATTCATTCCAAAGGAGCAATAGAAGAGCACAAACACTTTTCCATCGGTGAAGAAACCCTAGTCTAGGAACATGGGGGTGATGGATTATTTCAGCCCTAGAAAGTTGTTTTGCTAAAAGTGTCGATTTGGATTGAAGACTGTTGTAACTCAAAGGCTTCTACCACAACTCTGCTAGGTCTTGGGCCAAATTAAAGCGTATAGTAAAACATTGATTCAGCCCCTACAGTCTTGTGTGTGTTAAGTAGGAATAGACTGATGGAGGCTTGACCACAGCAGTCAAGGGCCTAGTGCTACCAATATGGTTAGTACTAGTGCTAGCCCCAGAAGAGTCCTCGAGCCAAAGTAGTTGAGTGACCTCAAAATATTGATAGACAACAAACCACCTGTCATGTAGAGGAGGTTGAGATTACCATCAGCTTTCTCTTTCCCCTCCAAGAGGAGGCAAAACCTACCCTCTCCTTCATCCCCATGATTACCCTGGAATCATGGTACAGTAAAAACCCTACAGTGTACAGTAAGCAGGCCGGGCAAGTACAGTTCAGGGGGGCTAGGTATACCAAACCTGATGCTGCAGGACCAAATGTTTGG